CCCATAGCGACCCCTAGAGGACGCAGTGTCTCGTTCCCTACTCAGGGAACCATGGTTACATAAGTAACCTGAGACGATATATATACATATATATATATATATATATTATATTTATATTTTATATATATATTTTATATTTTATATATATATATTATTATTATATATATTTATGATATATTTTGATTATTGATAATTGTACTGCCTTAATGCTTTAATGTTTGTATTGTTTAATAAAAAAAATAAAAATAAAAAAAAATGTAGGCTAGTCTATAAAGCTTCCACGGAGCAAGGCAGAAGGGATCAAGAAGAATGGCTAACGTTATGTAGTATGATACAGAGGGAGTTAGTAATGTCGACATGACAGAGAATTTATAAAAATTCACAGGGCTGTATAGGGCCTTAAAATGTAATAAACATTATTATAAACTTTTAATAAATTGCTGTTTAATATTGTAAGTTTCATGATTTCAATTAATTAATTATATTATGCTTTTTGATGAAAAAAATTATAATTTAACCATTAAAACAAAATTAAAACGAAAAATACAAATAAAATACGGAATCCAGAAAAATTAAAATGGAGAAAACGGAAATTTCTCCGCAATAAATAAATAAAAAATACAACGGAATTTGGGGAGCTAAAACGGATTTCATAGGGCCCTAATTAGTGAAAGAAATTTTAAAAAATCTCATAATCCTGAAAAACTCATAATCCTGAACCCTTTCAGTGAGTATTAGGCTTACAGATGACGTTGAAAACATCGTTTGGAAAAACTACTAGTAAGAACAAATTACAGTATAGTAAAACAAAAATTCTAATTTTTGCCAAACAGTTGGTGAGTAGTTCAGTCCATTATTTTATGTTGGTTCAAAAAAGACTACCACAAGATTTCAGAGTGCAGTTTATAGTGCAACACATAGCAAGGCTATGCAATGAAAATCTTCTTACATGTGATGCAATTGACAAATTAGACTGAATATATAGCTACATTTAAAATTATTGAATTTTTAATTAATAAAATAAAAGTTAATATAATTCATAAGTGTGTCCATTATTGACTAACCTGAGCACATGTTCTAAATCAAGGGTATCGCACAGTTTAAGACAAACTTGCAGCAAAGGAAACTTAAATATTTCTTCCTTTTATATTTCCCCTAAAATATGATCTTTGCCTGCTTTGTTGGTCTCAAAGTGTTACTTTAATTAACATGACATTTGATCACTTGTTCCTCATCAAAGTGTACTAACTCTCCACAAATTCTTTCTTAATCGATTATAACATCAATTACCATTTGTTTTATTTGGGAGCCTGCATTTTTTTAAATAATTAAAGTAAAATGAATCAATTAAAACATTTTGGAGTGTATTGATAAAATCAAAAACATTTCTTTGAATTGAAAATGCAGCAAACATTATTATCAGTTCTGATTATTTTTAAACATGCAGTATTGTCCTCATATAGCAGTAATTCTAAAACATAAGGTGCAAAACTGGAGGAAACATACTGAAATACACACTTCAAAGATAAATTTACTCGCAGAATACCCCCCCCCCCTTTTGGATATCGGATTGCTATTATTGTGCAAATGAATTTGAACACATTTCAATGTGTGATATACTACACATTATTAATAACAGAAATAGTAGATAAACACATTAGTGTTTTTGACATTTTAATGGTTATTCTTTACATCAAATTACACAAAATGACTGTTGAATGAATATAAACAGGATATCAGCAATGACAAAAACCTAAAATAAAACCAATTTTACCATAATAATTTTCCAGTTGGGATTTCTGTTCTTTTTTTATTTTTTTTAATTTTTTTAATAAAGCATTTCACCTGTGTAAAATGAAAGTGCTTGCCAATGTTTTTAAAACAACAAGTCTATTCACAAGTGTTATTTTTAAGAATCTTTGGTTATTTGCACTTTCTCATATTTAACGATTTTCCCTCCCTTCGTCACGATCTCTTTATATTCTAGAACTCCATTCTCCTCGATGTAGCGTTCCTGAGTCACTTTTCCGGTTTCTGGGAGAGGACAAGGAAATGACATCAGGGACAGCTGCTTGTGTAAGGCCTCACCCTTAATCGGTACCATTGCCTTTCCCATCTCTCTCTGTTGAGGTGGACTCTGTCGATAATATACAATAGGAGGTTTTTTTAGCTCCACTTTAGGAACAGGAGGTCCTGGTGGACACCACTTTTGATTTGGCCTCATGTCATTTCCATGTTTCTCTGTGATATCTCTTGTGATGTCTCTTGTAATGTCTCTTGTGGTGTCTCTTGTAATGTCTCTTGTGATGTCTTTTGGTCTAATGTCTGTTGGTTGAGCTGAAGGAGCTCTCCTGATGTCTGCAATGACTCCAGCCATAGTAGTTCTGTACGTGGGATTGGGTTCCACCATTCTGGATACTGGATTACAGTACGGCTGGTCTTTTAGAGTTTCACGAATCTTGACGGGAGAGACAAATTGGGTGGGTAACCTGATCCTGGTGCAGAGTTCAGCTATGATTTTACCCATGGCCCAAACGTCTGAGCGCTTGTCACGAACGCCATTCATCTGCAGGATCTCTGGTGCCGAGTACGCTTCATTGCCCAAGTTTACTGCAGAGGTGAGTCCATTTCTAAAGAATTTAGCCAGTCCTAGATCAATGATCACGGCACGATGGGTTTGATGCTCCACCTGAAATTGGATAAGAGAAGTAAGTATCTTTCCTCATGTTCTACACCCTAAAAAATGCTGGGTTGTTTCAACCCAACATTGGGTCAAATATGGACTAACCCAACTTTTGGGTTAAAAATTTAATTAAAAAAATTAACCCAACAGCTGGGTTTGTCCATATTTCACCCAAAGTTGGGTTCAAACAACCCAGCATTTTTTAGAGTGTAGGAAAGAACCAGATCAAATTAGACCTGTTCATTTATTTAGTCTATACTATATGTAGAAGATTAAGTGCAGAGACTTTAGAGTCTTTGCAATCAAAATTCACAGAATTCAATATGAACTCAAACATTGCTCATTAAATTCTTCAGAAGAACGTTACACTCTAAAAAATGCTGGGTTGTTTCAACCCAACTTTGGGTCAAATTTGGACTAACCCAACTTTTGGGTTAAAAATGTAATGTAAAAATTTAACCCAACGGTTGGGTTAGTGCATATTTGATCCAAAGATGGGTTGAAACAACCCAGCATTTTTTAGAGCATAGGAGCAATATCCAAGACAAGTGAAACCTAGTTGAAAACTTAGTCAAGTTGAAAAAAGTAAAAAAACAAACAAATAAAAACTCATTTTCAATCTCACCATAATGTTATCAGGTTTGAGGTCTTGGTGGACGATGTCTTTACTGTGCAGAAACAACAAACCTTCACACATGCCAGTGATGATTGTGGCTTTCACTGCTGGAGTCAGCTGAAGAAGACAAAAAGACATTGTTGCATTTTGGCTCCACTAATACATCATCTAAGCATACTTTTTTTTTTTTTAAATGTTGTAAAGAAATAGTTCAGCCATTGCTAATTTTATCATCAATTACTCATCCTCATGTCACTTGAGATGTAATTGAATGTGCAAAGAACCGAGTAAAGTATACAGTAAAGTATTAATTAAACCAAGCACAATTGCAACTGAACTTGGCTAGCTGTTATAGTACAGAAAACATTTTAGTAATAAGTGAGATTCATGTGAAAAAGACTTCCTATCAAACCCACATAATAATAATAATAATAATAATAAATGAATATAATAATAATTATGATTATTATGATTATTATATTAATATTCAATAATAAAAAAATGAATATAATAAAATAATTAGCTTTATAAAATAGCATTATATTGTATGGAATATGGCACCTGGAATATAGCTACATTCTGCTAAACTATAAATTATTTTATATTATATCAATCTGCAATTTTAAAATATAAATACAATTATAAATTAGTATTATATATTTGTGTTATATCATATGGAAAAAGCACCCAGTCATGTCATTCAGCTAAACTTCTGTTTCAGAAGTTTAACTTCACTTTAACTTCACTTCTGTTTCTGTTCATGTTTCACTGAAGAAAGAAAATCATATAAGAGAAGGGTGAGTAAAGGATGACAGATTTTTAATTTGAGCTGCGTTAGACATCTTTACCTGTATTTTAGAAAGCTGTACTTTGAAGATGGTCGTCTCAAGATCTTCCCCACAGATAAACTCCAAAGGAATGTTCCACTTAGAGTCTTTTAGCCAAGGATCACCTAGAAGCTTCACCACGTTTGTATGCCGAGCATTACTGGAGTTTAAAAGTCAAGTTTCATGGTTATCATTTTAAGCTCAGTAGTTAAACATTAAAGATATATTAAATATATATATATATATATATATATACATACTGATATACTCTGCATTCTCTCTCCAGCTGTTGTTTGCTGATGACTCCTATAGGAACTCTCTTCACAGCAGCCCATGTGTCTCCATACTTCTCCCTGTATATTTTTCCAAAGCAGCCTCCAGCCAGTGTTTTTGTGGAGTACGCCATCTAGTTATGCTGTTAGTAGAGTACACATCCATATGAGAAACTATCTATCCATCTATCTACCTATCTATCGACACTCTCAGAAAAAAAGGTACAAAAGCTGTCACTGAGGCGGTACCCTTCCAAAAGGTACAAATATTAACCATTTAGGTACTAATATGTATCTTTTGTAATATCTTATATCTTTAAGGTTAATATATATCATCTATCTATCTATCTATCTATCTGTCTGTCTGTCTGTCTGTCTGTCAAAAATCTGTCAGAAATGTCAATGCCAGTATCTTTGTGTCAGTGTTTGTTTTCATATACAGGTGTGTGTAATCAAAACAGGACTGTCTTGAAAGTGATTACCATCAGCACATAGAATGTAGGCCTAATATGGGTCATCTGGTATGTTTACAGGAAATCCCCACCATTAGTCAACTCATATAATCACGTATAAGTTTATAAATGTCTACATAGTGGTAAAGCCATAAAGTCATACATTTTTTCTTTAAAAGCTACCTGACATTTTGATCACAAAGTTACCGTCAGGTATGTAGTAGAAAAACTTCATCTTAAAACTAAAGGCTCATTAGTACACATCCGTTAACACAGGGAGCTTTGCTGGAAGGCCTATGGGCAAAATCTGCTTGCATTAAGCCTGTACTTGCTGCTGAGAAAATGCTGTCTAACTGGATCTAGATTGCAAAAGAAATCATAACCCTTTCACACAAAGAATAAAATCAAGCCATCTTTCTTTTAAGTTTATGACTGAATATTTGTTACCCTAGATTACCCTCCTATCCACCTCCCTCCACCCCCTGGGAACAAAAATAGTTTTAGTATGTTTCCGCCCATATCCTCAGTGTTATGATTATCCAACCATCATAAATACCCTACAGCAATTACACAGACAAAAGAAGTGGTTCCTTGATAAACATAAACCAGAAGAAAGAACATAAACCATGTCATCACTATCACTGACATGAAACATCTAGCTGTAATCACTGACCTTTATAATAGCACACAACACAATAAGAATTTGGTCAATGGTCATTGAATTTTCTTACCTGTTTCAGCAGGTTATGTGGCTGATGGCAATGAATGTGCTCAAATAAAACAGGAACAGTGATTTTCTGTGCTAATTACCTTCCCTCTATAACCACACCCTCGTATTTCAACACTGGAAGGACACCTATAACCAGCCAGATAAGATAAGAGAGAGAGCGAGAGAGAGAGAGAGAGAGAGAGCGAAAAAACAGTGTTGCTGGTTATCATACAGTGAAAACCTGAGACTTTATTAAGAAACGTTCTGTGAGATGTAGATGAGATTGGAAAAAAAACACTAAATAACTGCATGTTTCTGACAATTTTTTTTTTG